CATCTGTCTCTTAACTACGAGATCATAAATTTGAATCCTTCGTCTCTATTTTTTTTTACTACTCGAAAAAGGAAAAAAAAAAAATATATATATATATATACATACATATATGCAAGGCTCTATGCCCAAATTTTGGGAAAGGAGAAAAAAAAATCACCCCTCAATCTGACTTATCTTCCGATTGTTATCAAAATTAAATTCAAATAAGTGATACAATCTTACATTCAACTTGAATAAGTATTACCATTTTTACCTTTTGATTGAATTTTATTTAAAGAATACTTAATAGAAAATATCATTAATGTTATTGTTAAAGATGTTAGATGAATTATTAAACACGTTTACTATGAAACTAATGTGACTACTTAAGAGAACGGCGACAATAAGGCTTAATTCCAGTTGAAATTTGTGATTTCGGGAGTTTTTTTTTTTGTCAATTAATTACCGATAACTCTTAATAAAAGAGTTATTTTAGGAGGAATTGTATTGGGTAGAATTGTTTTCTGAAGAATCTAGCTTTGAACAGAAGTGTTGCAGGCTTATAATTAAATTGAATATTTGGAAGCTAAACATATTTTGTGCTTGTCTGAAATTTGTAAGGAAAATTATTCATTAAAGATTATTTCCCTTAGCGTAGGAGATGCTATATGTGACACTCGAGTAGAGACTATGGGTACATGAATGAACCGATACCACATCCGAATTAAAGGGATCCTGAGACCATGAAGCGTGGTTAAGAAAGCTTAAAAGAAATGATAGTTACTGCCTATACAAACAAGGTGCACTTTCCTTTTCGGTAAATCAAACGTCTGAATGAACCGATACCACGCCCGAATGAGAGAGATCCTGAGACCATAGTAGCATGGTTAAGAAAACTTAAAAGAAATGATAGTTACTACCTATACTAATAAGGTACACCTTCTTTTTCGGTAACTGACTCATGTTGGTCTGTAGGGATAGTTTACACTTTTCTAAATAGCTCAGAGCTAGACGGTGGCGCAGTCAGGTCGCAGGGGAATGCCAGGTCGATTATGGCCAAATCTAGATTCCGAATCCTAGGTCTTACTAAAGTCTGAGTTGAGAAAAATAACAAAAAGTTCTGTTTATCTGAAAAAAAATGTTAGTAGTAAAAGATAAAACATCTAATTCTCACTAGAACCCAGAGTTGTTGTCATAAAGTTTAGGAGGGGTATAATACTTTAAGACAAGGCTGCCCCAAATCATCAATCTCAAGAAGAAAATCTAAGACACGAAAAGGAGAGAGAGATTCCTTCCATTTTTAAGACCTACCTAAGGAAGACGACAGCAATGGGGCTGAAGCAGCTAAACCAGTGGATAAAACTTTGTTCTCTATTGTTTTCTTCTTCCCTCTTGTCTGAATCGAAATGGGTTGTAAATCTTTTCATTTTGTTGTTTTATGTCGCGTTTGAGCTTAACCCATTAAGAGGGATATGAACATTTGCAAAAACATTATTGTTCAAGTTTATGAAGTTGTTTCTGCTTGATTAAAGCATGTGTTCATTTTTTTTTTAAGTTCTTTATGACTGATCTCTTGGGAAATTTGGAGTCAAACCAAATTAATGGGCAAAAAGCCCAATTTAATCTTACCCTATTTTTTGACATATATATGTGTGGTCATGGAAAATAATGATATTGAACCAAAAATTGAAAATTAAAGGGTGGCACCCGTGAGTTTTGGTTAGCAGCAGCCTTTTGAGGGGATTTTTGTGTGGCAAATCAAAGGCAACGGCTCGGGCATTGGCAGTACAGAGAAATGGTCAGATCAAGATCATCTTTATTGTGGTAATCGTATCTTGATTATTTATATGAGTGTTTTTCATTCTAGTACCTAATTAATTGTGTTAGATTGTTTTAGAAGTGAGGTGACTTTTTGTTGGGACCTCTAAGAGATATTTTTTAGAGAATTTATTGTAATTTAATTCTTGACAATATTAGTGAATTACCTACATCTCAGTAGAAACTGGACGTATTGTTGATAATGATGGTCTTTGGGCATCTCTTTTGTCGTAACTTGATTTATTTTGTTTGTGTTGTTGCTTTATTTTATTTGTATCATTTGTTTTAAAAAAAACATCTGTTTTTTCTTTTCTTTTCTTTTCTTTGTTTTATAGAAAAATTAAGCTGTTGTAGGTTTAATTGAACATCTCACATTTGTTGTATAAAAAATATATATATAGAAAAATAGAAAAAGTAAAAATGAAAATTTCTTTTTCTCATAGTATGAATGGACTATAGAATTTTCTTAAACATTTACAAAAATGTATTTTTATAAAAATAATTATGAAAAAGTTTAACTTTTACCCTTAAATTTAGATGATGAATCTATTTTAATCTTAACTTTTATCATCAATTTATATTTTAAACCTGAAAAATGTTGTAATGCAACCATATATTTGAATAAATGTAATTAATATTTTTAACTAGTTAATTTTTCTTAATTCATGATTAGCTATGTACAGCCTTGTGATAAGCTATACTTTTAGTTTTAATTAGTTTGATATAGATTTTTTTAGTACAATATGTGAAGTAGGGATCCAACTCACAACCTCTTGGTAAGAATTATATGTCAATTACCACTGAGTTATTACTCACTTTAACGATTTGATATTAGCAATTTGATATGGACATTTTATTGCCAAGTCTAAGCGTTACATAATTGCTCAATTTGGTGTCTAAGGTATGAGTATTTTTTTTGGATTTGGACATTTCGTTGATATGAATTTGAGCGTTTTATCAGTTGAATGTATGATTACTTAATTGTTTCTTGAGAATTTTTTTAATTTACTTTTGACTTTCGAGGAGATCTTAATGCAACATTTGCCATTGATTTTTAAATAGATGGAGTTAAAAGTTGAAAGTTGAAATTGACTCATTCAACTAAGTTCAAGAGTAAAAATGGACTTTTCTCAAATAATTACAAATATTAAAAAAAATTAATAGCAAAAATATCATTTGATAATAGAAAAATAATCGTGTGAAACATATGTCAGCAATAAATGACATCTACTAATTTCCTTGAAGTCGGAGGTTCAAATTCTCATACCACATCTTTGTTGTACTAAAAAAAGTAGAAAAATAATTGCAAATATAACGGTAACACACTTTTGGTACCTCAAGTTTGAGATAGATACCCATTGGTCTCTGAGGTTTCAAAAGAGACACTTTTATAGGAATCAAATGGATACATATCTCAAACCTCGGGATTAAAAATGTATTTTTCTCTTTAAATTATTGTGATGATAAATTAGGATATTTTTATTTCATAGGAATGTTATTGAGCTTAAATCAATAATTAAATTTAACTTAGACATCGGTTAACTATAATCATAATAATCACTAATTAGTATTAATACATGATATACAACAGTTGAGCAAATAATAGAATTGAAAATTTTAATATGCCTCTAAACAATAGCGGACGTTATCAATTAGCATTTTAAATTAACAAAATTGTTGTAATTAAACCCTTAAATATTTCAAAATATACAAACTACACCCTTAAAGTGTAAAGAAATGTCGACGTCGCGATTGACCCCAATTCATAAACATATAGAAATATCGATATATAGATTAAAATTTAATGTCTTTGTAAGAAGACGAAATTGCCCTTTCTTCTTTGGTTTCCGCATGGACATACCAAAACAAAGAGAGGGCCTTTCTGTCCATTGCTTTGTACCCTCGAGGCAATGCTGGGTGCCCGAAAGAATGATGGTTTTTCACTTTTCAAACAACTTTATTTGTGTATAAAAGTGAAATGATATTGAATTGGAGCTTTCTTTTAACATTTAATCATTACATAATCTCTCTCTTTCTATCTCTGGTGGTGTAAAAAGTTGTAATATCAGATTTTTCCTCTTTTCTTTTCCTTCTTGTTTTGCACTTTTGTAAAGTGATTGGATCACCATAAATTCTCTCCCATTCCTGAACCTTTTAAGATATTAAATTTCTGTCAACCTGTCAGTACTTTTGTCAATATTTCTATATCAAACATAAATTATGAATTGATATTTTATGATATTGCAACAAATCGACAAAATATAGAATATATCATCATTGTATCATTAATGTAGACATAATGCTAATATTAAACCAAAATGATTTTGAACTCTAAACGACACCGTGTCAACTAAAATGCTATCCCCAAATTTGCTTACACCCCAAACAGCCATAATTTGAAAAATGAACAATTCATTGTCATGTTTTTTCACTTTCATTTAACAAAAAATCTAATGAAATAATTCTTTCCAAGTAATTTTATAAGTCAAGGGTTAAAATGAAACTTTTGAAATAACATAATTATAATTGAAACCTAATTGAAACCTACTCTAAAATTCAATGACATAATTGAAAGTTGACATTGTGCTCATGTTGTTAGGAAAAAAGTCCAAATAGGAGACCTGTATCCTACGAGGAAAAAAGATTTTCAACACTACCTGAATTCCTACAAGAATTAGGATAATAAGAATTAGGATAATCAAAACAAAAGAGACTTGAGTGGTCGTGAACCGTGGGTGAAAAGTAATCCGTATTTTGTGGGTTTAGTGATGGTATATTCAATTTCAATTGTAATCTTCTCAAACTTAGTAAAACCACCTTTTGCAACATATTAGACTAGTAAAAAGATTGAGACGAACCAATATAAACTCTCACGCGTTTCTCTATTTCTACTACTTACCACCACGTTTTCCAATTTCATTTTAACAAATAAGTCGATGGAAGGATTTTTGAAATAAGTTTAAAAGTTAAAAAGAGTAAAAATGAAACTATTGACGCATAATTGAATCCTTCTTCCTTATTCCATATAATTTAACCTTAAGAGTTGCATAATTGAACCGTTGGTAGCTAGTTGAGGTTCTCTTGAAATCAATGAAGTGAAAGTCTCTGTCTAGATGGTATTCTCTTCCAAATTCTTTTGACATCAGTTTTAGGCACTTCATTGAGATCTAGCAACATTGCATCAAAAGCTTGAAATTTTCAGGTAAACTTTTCGACTTCTTGTCACATTAATCATCGAAACTGACATCAAGGGGAGGAGAGACCGATAAATCAACGCAAAAKGACTGATTTGACCTTTAGAGCTGTCGATTTGTAAGCTTAACAAAAAAGACAGGAGGATAACAAAAACTGCTGAACTACTGATCATATGCAACAAATAACTTCCCCTTGCTCCTCCCTTGCTAGATACCCCTAAAACAACTACTACCTAAAACACCAAGTTTCTGAGTTCCAAAAAAAGTTACTAGCCTCAAAAAAACTATGGTGGCAAAACCTATAACACACAATTTAGCATCATATTTAGATTGTTTTATGTCTAGGCCGCAACACCCTACCAATACTTACAGATTTTGGTTCTGAAGAGGTTGAAAGTTCCGCTTCAGCCTTCGTGTTTTTCCTTGACAAACTGTTCGAACCCTCTATTATGCTTGGTTTATCATCAGCTTCTTGGAAGACCCCATCTGGGTTTTGTTGTTCAGTTGTACTATCTGAGGTTGTTTGGCTGCTAATATCGGTCTTGGTTTCAGGGCTTTGATGTCTAGCTCCAGACCGCAACACCCTACCAGTACTTACAGATTTAAGCTCTGAAGAGATTGAAAGTTCAACTCGAGGCTTCGTTTTTTTCTTCGACAAACTGTTTGCACCCTCTTCAGATGTTTTTTCCTCGTTAGTTTCTTGGAAGACCTTGCCTTCTGGGCTTTTTTGTCCAGTTGTAGTCTCTGAGGTTGTCTGGCTGCTTATATCACCCTTCTTTTCGAGGCTTTGATCTGTTGGCGATGCTATTCCTTGAACTCCCAATAATTCTTTGTCACTTTGGTCATTGCGTAGAGCAATTGTCGGTTTCTTTTCAGGCATTGGACATTCATCAGATGGACTGTAGTTATCACCATTCTTTCTCTTCAAGCAATGCGGTTCCTTTTCTTTCTCATTGATGACTTCACCAAGTTCATAGCTTGCAGATTGGAGCTTTGACAGTTCATCATTTTCATGATCCAGATAATATGGAGGTTTAGTTTCTTGTAAGTCCTGCTGCTCCAGACATGAAAAGCTCAGTGACCTCTTAACAGAAATATGATCTTTAGTGTCTACATTGGAAATACTCTGCAGTATCTGCTTCTCATTTTCAGATTCACCTCCTACATTATTTTCAACATGATGCTCCATTGTTCCTGCGGGATTAACGTCAAAATCTATGAAGGACAGTGACCTTTTTGCAGAAGCGAGGTCGGTGGGATTCTGCCCTGAACTAGGCTGTGATCGTTTGGTTTGGATGAGAAAATGTGCGACAGACTTGAAGCCCATCCTTGCTATCTATACAGTTCAAAGTATTGACCCTTAGCTGCAAATTCTCCGAGTAAAACAAGAAATACAGGAGGCAATTCACATTATACTATAGAATATAGATAAGAAAATCTACCTTCTTATACAGAGTTCCAGTAGGGAGCCATCCTTTAGCTTGGCGACACAAACTGCAGTTGCAAATTCCACGACAAACGGGACATATCCAATCAGGATTCTGTTGGGCTTCAAGAACATGCTCTCCGTATCTGCAAGAGTTGGAAAAGAATAGTATGATGGCTCCAACCTAAGAAAGTTCATATACCGGTTTGAGCCAACAAGAAGTTGGTATGTTTCCACTCTCAAGAAGCCAAACGACTGAGCATTTATAGTTTATGCATCCAAAGAACTGAGACAGCACATCACAAGTGAAAATGAAGTTAATTTGCTCGGCATGCCATGTTATTGCTTGACATTTGACGGAAAAAGAACTTCAAAAGACATCCATTAAGAATGTATGCAACATTTTCCAGATAAAGTATCTTAAAAATATGAAATCCAACTGTAGATACAACTTGAAAAGAATGTTATCAAAGATTGTACCTCATATACAGACAGTCTCCACAAAACTGCCCTTGGACCATGTCACATTTGCTGCAATGAGTGCGATGCCCTAATGTTTTTTGCCTGTAAACATAGCATTTCCATTTAATGAAAACATGATAATATTTCCCACTAGTTAAATAGAGCTACGCTTACATTCTACTTTGTAACAATTCCTATCAACTAAACTATATATCTGACATTTCCCTGATTAACAAATATCACAAAATAATTTATTTAAAACTTACCATAAAGTGATATTGTTTGAGCAACTAATCGAGTTATTCCATAGAAGGTCATTCCATTATGCATTCCATGAAAGAACCTTCTTTCAATAACTTATCATTTACTTCAGGTCAAAGGAATATGAAATAACAATCTAACCAAAAAGAGCAGAAAGGTCATGAATGAAGTAGTGGCCTTTCACCCTCTTTCAAGTGATTCGGGGAGCTAAGAGGGAGAAAATAGGTTTTCCATGTTGGTATGGCCGTGCATAAAAGATTGTTAAGTTAGATCAAAACGAAGAGGTAGAGAAAGAGAATGGAATGGAACTGATGGCCCTATATCAAGTCATTCTGTAATTTCCCCTATTCACCTTTTTTTTTTAATTACTAAAATAATATTGCTTTACCCTTTCTTCATAAGGGAAAGTAATGAATATTTCATAACTTCTAAAATTGACCTATAACCCATCACAAGGAGTTCATCATAACTAGTTAACATGTTATATAATGGATGATTTGTGTGTATAAGTTGGCATTAACTCAATAATGTATAATAAATTAACTGCTATTAGTTAATAACTTTGATCTAACACTAAAATGACTAGTCCCCAAGCAAAAGCATAAACTTGATTCAAATGCATCTAAACACACGCATTCTTTGCCAAATAAAAGCGTTCATCTAAAATCAAATAGATAAGATCACACAACCAAACCAACATATTTCCGATGAAAATTACAGAGCATTTTTCATTGTACGAACCTGCATTGGTGGCACGTCTTTCCCTTTATTGGATCATAAATTCGCTTCCCATCCTTACCATATCCATCCACAAACAGCGTCCAGCTCTTCTCTGTGCTACCCAACAGCTTCTCATGCTCTTCCGTGTACACCTCCGGCCTCGAACCATCTTCAAGAATCACACCGTCATCCTCCGAACACTTGTTTTTCCTCTCCATTCGAAGTTCGGAGTAAGTTACCGGCGTCACATTCTGTAACCTAAATCCGCCAAAAGATCATAACAGAGGAAAAGAGGAACAAAACAGGACAAATTCAGAGAAAGAAAACCTAAAATCCCCATTTCGTACAGGACGATCAGAGAATGAGTTCTTTAAGTTCAGATAAGGGCTTAGGAAGTAATAATCAGCAATTGCCGAAACCTGGATGATCGCCGGAGGGGTCCTGCCGGCGGGAGGTCAAACGGAGGCGGAGAAGTTGTTGGATTAAACGATTTTCGGCGATTTTGCTTCGAAGGGGCGGAGGATTTGAGCTTGAGAGAGAGGTCAAGGATGCCGAGTTTTTGCATCCGCTCCAGGTTTTCTCTGATCCTCAACTCTCTGGACTGCTCGTACTGGGAAATCTCCGGCGTTCGGGCGGCGGAAGCAAGGCCGGCGTCCATTTCGATGGCTTCCGATGAGGGTTCTGGAATTGGGGGTTTCTCTGTCATTTCTCTCGCTAGTGCCTCTCGGTTTCTGCTCCTTAGTGCTTCATTTTAAAATTTTAACGGTCATATTTAGGGACCCAGATTTTCTTTATTTATTATTTAGATTTATATTTTATACAAATGAAATGACACATATCCACTTTGGAAAAAATAAAGTTTAAATTATGTTAACCATTGGAATTCGAATCCACTACCTTTTGTTCGGTAGTAGAGCTGTACTCATATCATGGTTCTAAATATCTATCGACACATCCACATTTTCATCGACATATTTATGTTTCCATAGGTTCGACATCGATACGAGAGTAAATCAACATTTTCATCATAGTACAAGAAAATCTACAAAAATACGAAAAATGTCAACAAAATGTCATTGATATATACATAACATATTAATTATTTTTAACTAATTTAGAAATAAGAAAAATGTTCCTTTGTTAATTTAAACATTTTTTACTATTTTTTAATTTTTCTGAAATATCCGATATTTCCATGGATATTTCACGACATTTCCATCGACATCGAGATTTAAAACGTTGGCTCACGAATCAAATTTTAGATATAAATTTGAAAGTTTGAAAATATTACTAAAAATAAGATTATTATTTAAACTATTTTAAATCTCAAACTAATCTTAAAAATAATGTTATTTTAAATACTCGCCCATTTTTGAAGAGATAACATAATAATATGGAGGTCCAAATGATTTATTTAAAAAAAAAAATGTGTGGACAAATTTAGGAGATTTGCACTAGGGAATTTTTGGTTTGGGAGATTTTAGCCGTGGTAAATTTCCTATTAGGGAGGGGAATTTGCGATTTGGGGAGATTTTTATTCCTCAAATTGCAAATCTCCTGATTTTTCGTCGAGATTAAAGTTCAAACTTTCTTCCCTATAAGGTAAAACTTTCTTTGGAGACAACATGTTTAACTTTTTTGTTAATATTACACTGGTGGGGGTAAGTTTTTTTTTGTTTTTTAAAAAAGAAAGTTAAAAGATGTCGTCTAAGGGAAAGAAATTTTACTTGATCTAAAGAAGAAAAAAAGCATGGAAAAATAAAGTTTCAATTTTTATCTCAACATAAAAATCAGATTTTATTTGTGGGATTTGCAATAATAATCATTTTAAAAAGTCAATTTTTTTTTTTTTTTACCTAAAATGAACAATGACTCGTCAAATGATTGACCTCACTTCAAACAATTTTAAAGCTGTGTTTGGGAGTGATTTTGGAAAAAAAAAAAGAGATTTAAGTATAATTAATTTTTCAAAATTACCATTTAAGTGATACCTTAAAAATCAATTTAAAGTGACTTTATATTTTCCTAAAATCAATTTTTTAATTTGCAAAAATTGATGAATAGGAATGGAAGTGATATTGGCAATGGAATCATTGTGAAATATGTCCATCTTAAAATAGAAGTAATTTTGACATTAAAAATAATTTTAGCCTTGTGAAAATTCTAAACATAATTTAAAATTCTAAAGTGAAAAGATAAATATTTTAGTTTTTCTCGGGGGAGAGCGAAAAGAGTATAAAAGGGTGTGGCATTAGGTTTATCAAAACAAGGACCAATATTCCATTGCACGAGATTTGAATAAATAAATAAATCAATCAAATAAGAATAAAGAAAATGACGGTGGGTAGCAAAATTTTTTTATGCAAAGCATAACAGACTTCGATACCTAAGTCAGTAGCTGGTTGAATTAAACTCGAGAGAGAATTTAGTATTCGCGTGAGTAAATAGACTTTATTTATAAGTAAATTCCCCAACAATATTTCCGATAAGGTCTCAAAGACTCTTTAAGGTAGCCGTGAATAGCAGTATGTTGTCGTGGAGTCTGTCGAAGTGAAGCTAGTCAGTTCAACCAATAAATGGGGACAAAACTTTCAATGAAGCTCGATTGGCTCGGCCGTGCCGCAAGGCGTCGGCTCAGTCATAAGAGACGAACCCGAGGTGATGAAACTTGAAACTTATCAATAAAAACTACGTGCAACTTCTATTACCCAATCAATATGTACCACGTGTGTGCTGAAAATCACCTCAAACAATATATATTATATATTTATAAGTCAAGAATAATAAAATAACACTTTTATTTATATTTTGAAAAAGAAAGAACAAGAAGCTTAATTTTGTTCAGAAAGTTTTTTGAAAATGAAAAACGAGAAGTAGAAACAGTTATCAAACACTTCTATTTTTTAAAAATTAAAAGTAGAAATGTTACCAAACGATTTTTTATCTATTGAGTTACGTTCGAATCAGATCCACGAGTTTAAACATTTTTTGCGTCTAATTTGTTGAGACTTGTAAAAATAAAAAGAAAGAATAGATAGCGATGGTGGGTTAGCAAAGAAAAAGCCAAGAGAGTTGGAAGATTGTCAAACGAACTGTTGAACCAACACTAGCTTTTACTATGACTTCCAAAGTTGAATCATTCTTTTTTCTTTTCCCTTTTTTTAAGTAAAATAAAATACTTTTATAATAATTAGCTTGGTTAAATTTCATTAAATGGTATTATTTCAACTTTCATCCTTTAAATTACTTAATCCGATTAAAATATATATATTTTTTCTTCTGACTAAATTTAAAGAATGAAAGGCCCTGTTTTATACCGATTTTGATTTAATTGTCCGTTTTTAAAAATTAATATTGCCTCACAAATTTTTAGTATGTTTTTCACTTTCTTCTGAATAAATTTGAGTTATTTATCAAATTTTTTTAAAAAAAGAACTCAAGTTTTTTTCTTAACTATTTTTTTTTTAATTTTACTTAAATTTTGGAAACGTTTTTAAAAAGTCTATAGGAAGGTAAATGAATACATAGGTGGAACTAATGTGATTGTAAGTTTAATTTTCAAAACGAAAACTAAAAAAAGAAAAAGTTATCAAACGAACTTGAAATATATTTATTTTTAGTCTCTATTTATATAGTTTTGGCATATACTTTTTTTTAATGATTAACCTATACAATATACTAGTTAGTTTCTCAAATTAAAAGTTTTAATTCTTCTATTTAGTTGTAATGGTTATATTTTATCAATTCATAGGAATAGATAATATAAAGGGATTACATTTTTTTCCACTGCATTATAATTATTTTTCTTAAAGTTTGCACAGTTATTTTAGCTTTTTCATTCATTTATTGATTTTTTTTCCTTTAAGTAAATATATATCAATATCAATCTTTCATTCCCTAAACTTAGAATGGTTCGATGGTATTATAAATAAATACATTACATGGATAAAACTTAACATAATTCAAATTTGAATCTTCACTTTCATAATTATCAAAAATCAGTAATGTTATATGAATTACAAAAAAAGTCAATTTATTCATAAATTTTAGTGGCGGGAGTGAATTTTAAACTTAAACTTTCAATTTAACTAATTTTAATCCCCGAATTTCAAGAAGGGTTAACAATTGGCATAATTATTCGATAGTTGACTTTGTATAGATTGATCAAATAAAGGTTGATTTTGGTTCTTAGCACAGTTAAAAAATTGACCGCTATTTATTTCTTGAAAAAGATTTTTAAAAATCTATTTTCTCTCTTTTTTTTGATGCATTTATCTCTCCTACTTATCAATGATAAAATTATTACAGTCCCGGAGAGTACCATACTTTTTTTATTCACATCATAACTTTACTTTTTATGAATAATTTTTTAATATTTGATAGAACTTACGTATCAAGGATCAAGAAAAAGGGAGAAAAAAAAAAAAGCAAACCAAATAATTCTGATGAACTACCCTGTCAAAAACTTGCAACAACAACAAAAAAGGAGAGAGTAACAGTCAAACCAGAACGCTGACTTTAAATTCAAACAAAAACTTGCAAGTTTCACCAAAAAATCTCTGCTCATACGACGTCGTTAATTACTACATTATTTATATATATGATTATTCCTTTTGTTGTGTTTGCACTTTGCAGGGCATGGCGAAAGTGGGTTTGTTGATTTTGATTCTGATTTTGATGGGAGCTGATGCTGCCAATGAAAAGCTTGGAGCTTCCTTTATATTTGGTGATTCTCTGGTTGATGCTGGAAATAATAACTATTTGCCAACCTTGTCTAAGGCCAATCTTCGCCCCAATGGGATTGATTATCAGGCTTCCGGAGGGGCCCCCACCGGCCGATTCACCAACGGCAGAACCATCGGCGACATCGTCGGTAAGCTCGGTCGATTGTCTAGCTTTCTCCGACCGGTTCGGTCTTATGCTTTTTATGGTTATGTCTACTTAGGATGTTCGTTTTTATAAGTCCTTTTTATAAATACGCAATCGATCCTCTCTTTTTCTCGATACGACCCTACTCTTGTAACCATACATGTAAACTATACAGGTGAAGAGTTGGGTCAACCAAAGCACGCAGTGCCATTTCTGTCCCCAAACTCCACCGCAAAATCAATACTAAACGGCGTTAACTACGCCTCCGGCGGCGGCGGAATCCTCAACGCCACCGGAAGAATCTTTGTCGGAACTCTCTCTCTCTCCTCTTCTCTCTCTAGAATAAAAAAAAAAGTAAACAATTAACTTATTAATCAAAATGGTGGTGTGAATGTTGGCAGGTAAATCGGTTGGGAATGGATATTCAGGTGGATTTCTTCAACATAACGAGAAAACAGTTGGATAAATTGTTGGGAGCTTCGAAAGCGAGAGATTATATTACCAAAAACTCCATCTTCTCCATCACCGTTGGAGCCAACGATTTCTTGAACAATTATCTTCTTCCGGTGCTCTCCATCGGCGCTCGGATCTCGCAGAGCCCCGATTCTTTTATCGACGACATGATCGCTCATCTTAGAGATCAGCTCACTGTAAGTCTAAGTACTATTTTAATTTCAGTTCAAATGTAATTTTGAAAAATTTGAAATCATTTTCAAAGTCCTTTTCGAGGAACCATTTACGGTGTGGTTGGGAGTGACGGTAGAATTAGTGATTTTGAAAAAAGAAATTTAAGTAGGTATGATTTTCCAAAATCGTCGTCCTTGAAAATAAATTTAAAATAATTTTAAACTTTTAGTTTATCAAACATGAAAGTATTTTTCACGATGTCATGACCGAAATCACTTCAAAACATACTACTTCAGTTAAAAGACTGCTACCGTCAAAAATCATTTTAAACTCATCCGAAAAGTTCGTATGACCATTAATATTGTTGTTATTTAAATGTCAAACTAACATGTTAGTTTGGCTAATGAACTATTGATGATTTGAATAATGTTAACTATAAGTAACATAAAATAGAGTAGTCAATACATGGGCTAAGCTCAACTTGTTAAGACAATATTTAAATCCACGTCCCGACATAATTGTGACTCATAGAATCCTAAGTTTAAAAAATGTCTAGTAAGTCTCTAAACTTGTTTCTTATTTTCTTTCTATTTTTTCCTACTTATAGAATAGAATGCAATAATAAAAAATAAATATAACATAAAATTTTTTAATATATTAAATTTCATAAAAATATTTAAAATTTCAAAGCACAAGAAACAAAAAATAATTACCAAATATATCTCTATTTAATTTTTCAATAAAAAAGAAAGAACAACCAACGACAAATAGTAGTTATATAGGACTAGTTCTGTTTTCATTTATTAAAAAATAGAAAACAAAAAGTAAAAATAAGATATAGAAACGTAACGAGACAAGTCATACACAATTGATCTTTTTTCTTTAAAGTGGAAAAATAAACACAACCATAAAAATCTAGATGCTAGGCCTATAAATTTTTGTTTAGTAATTGATTGTTAAGAATCTCCCGTTGAAAAGATAAGAGACTTATCAAAAGTTTACAACATAGATAAGCTATTCTTCCTACTGCGGATTAATTTTGAAATGAAATCACATGAATTTTGATATTGATGCGGTGAAATTTTCAATTGGATGCAGAGATTGTACCACTTGGATGCTAGGAAATTTGTGGTGGGAAATGTGGGTCCAATAGGGTGCATACCCTACCAAAAGACCATCAACCAATTAAATGAAGACCAATGTGTTGATTTGGCCAATAAGTTGGCCCTTCAATACAATGCCAAATTGAAGGATTTGCTCTCCACTCTCAACAAAAATCTCCCTTCCTCAACTTTTGTCTATGCCAATGTCTATGATCTTGTCATGGATCTCATCGTAAACTATGACAATTATGGTAAATATTACTTCTTCATTGCATTTCATCAATTTTATATCCTTCTCAACAGTGAGAGATTAAATTGAAACTTTTTAAATTTTAAGGATTAAGTTGAAAAATCATCCGAACATTAGAGACTAAAACATATATTTAATCTTTTTTTTTTCTTGTTCTACTTCTCTTTAGTCTCTCCACTCAATGTTAAAGTGTGATTTCATATTTGTTTCTATTGGTAACTTAATTAATATGGTGTCACATATCTATTAGATAAATGTTAGTGATAATTTTGGCACAATTTGTTAGATAAACCAAAGAAGTAAATATATACTACATCCACCAATCTTATATGTCAATTTAAACATATAGTTCAAGTCGTGAGAGACTTATACATTTCCATTCAAATAAGGTAAATGGTCCTTACAACCAACAAATATGAAAGTCAATAAAAACGACCCAAATAAAAGAAACCTGAATCAGTGAAGATTCGAACCTACCACCGTTCAGAAACCGTTAAAACATATAATTATATCACGATTCTCTCCTTGTGTAAATGTAGGATTCAAGACGGCAAGTAGAGCATGTTGTGGGAATGGAGGGCAGTTCGCGGGAATAATACCCTGCGGCCCACAATCAAGCCTCTGCACAGACAGATCAACGCATGTCTTTTGGGACCCTTACCATCCAAGTGAAGCTGCCAACCTTATTCTTGCCAAAAAATTGCTCGACGGCGACCAAAAATACATTTCTCCGGTGAACCTCAGGCAGCTTCGCGACCTCTAATTAGCGTTTCATTGATGAAGGAACACAAGAAGGGTCTTGGGAGCAGCTTATATTGGTATATTATTCAAGAACTTGATGAATATATGACATGTTTTGGATTGCCTTTGAACTGTTCGACGAATTGCCCCAATGGTGCTTTCCTTTGGATTCCTGTCTTTTTTTTTAATGTGTTTGGATTGTCATCTCTGATCTTATTCTCTCGAGTTGAATTGAGCCCATTAGAGAAACAAGGAGATATTAGAGTTGGGGAATTTTAGAGCTCGTTTGGTATTGTTATTGGTGTTTCTTCATTTTTTAATAAAAAAAAATGAAATATATAGCTCTAACATCCATGAATTCAATTCAAGTATGATAAAATCATATTTTTATTTTATGTTTTGGAATAAATTCAAAATAAGAATAAGAAACAAAGTTAGTTGCAAAATACTTAGATTTCTTAAAAAAATTGGAAACGAGAAACAAGAAACGAGAATGAATTGCATGACCCTAATCTCCACAAATTCATAAAACAATCTTTTTATATATGTTTTGGAATAAATTGGAAATGGGAACAAGAAAAAAAAACTTGCTGGTTGTTTCCAAAATTTATATATAATTTTGAGAGTTTTCTCAAAACAAAATGTTTAGATTTCTTAAAAAGAAATTGAAACAAGAAACAAGAAACAGAAACATTACCAAACAAACGGTGCATAGTTAGTTGCAAAATATCTAGATTTCTTAAGAAAATTGAAAACGAGAAACAAGAAAAGGAAATGGTAACGTTCCTGTTTCTTGTTTCTCCTTTCCAATTTTCTTAGGAAGTTTAAACATTTTACAACTAACTACGTTTTTTGTTTCTCATTTTTTTGGGAACATTATCAAAATTATATAAAAATTTTGAAAACAACCAAAACAAGTTTCTTTTCTTTTTTTTTCCATTTCCAATTTGTTCCAAAACATTAATAAAAAGATTGTTTTAACAAATCTGAATTCTTAGATGTTGGAGCCATGAAATTTATTTTTTTTCGTTAAAACTGAAGAAATAGAAACAAGAAACATGAACGTTACTAAACGAGTTCTGTTTGCCTTTGTTTTGCTTTTGTTGTGTGAAATCACGTGTTTGAATGAGTACAAATTTGATGAGCTTTTTAATGAAACTCAATTTTGTTTCTCGATTTTGGTTTTAAAATGTGCATTATGATCAAAGATTTGGTATCAGGCAGAAGGGTTTTTCAAATTGAAGTAGTGGAATTGTGAGCTGTATTATTAAATCACTGCAGGTCAGTACAAAACCCAACCAACTAAGCTCTTATTTTTAGGTGTTAGGAAAATGTGATTTTTTTGTAGGAAATATATTACTATTGTTGGTCGTGTACTAGTTGATATGATTAGATTAATTAATGGGGAAGATTTAACGTTATTTGAAGTTAACTTCAATTTAAATTAATCAGTTGTCGTGTCAATTAACTAAAAGTCATGTTCGAGATGATTGAAATAAAACAGATTCGTATAGTTCAAGAGGATGAGAATGAGAATAAGGGATGAGAATTAAAATATACTCGTGAAAGAAATGATCTTCACAAATTGAAATGAAAGGATCTGCTCGATCTATGGAGCATATAATGAAGAAAATATTGAAAATTAAAGAGTGCATCTAGTCTACGGTCAAATGAATTAGTCGTCTACCCTAACTATGGTGGTGGAATATTTAAGAGACGCAGTTTTTTTTAGTACAACATGTAGGGGTGAGGGATCGATATGCCAATTATCGTTTAGTTATGTTCATTTTGGCTAAGAGATGCAGTTAACTTATGTGTACGTAGTTATGTTAGAGTGTTAAATTACGGTTAAGTTTTTCATAAAGTTAATAAGATTGATCAATCAACACACCGTATTTAGATAACAAATTGGGTGGGCTAAAATAATTAACCAAGGTTTTAAATATCAATGTCGACAGAAATGATGTCTCAATTTTAGAGAAATATTGATAAGATGTCGATGTCGATGGATATTTTTTAAAAAAAATTAGAGAAATTAAAAATGTTTAAATTAAGAAATACATATATTTCTATTTCTAAATAAGTTAAAAAATATTAATATTATGTATATAGTAGTGATATTTTATTGATATTTTCTTTTATTTTGTCGATTTTTGTAATGCAATGAAAATTTTGATTTATCATTCATGTTGATGTCTAACTCATTAATATATAGTAACGTTGTGAAGAGACTATGATAATTAACTATCTTATGCAGTAAGAATCAACTTTTTACTAAAAAAAGCTTGCTAGCTTAATTAAAACTTAAAAGATATTAGGAGGCAATTTCAAGGTTTTTTTTCCATCTGTCACTTGACTCATTTTTTTGTTTGTGTTGAGTAGCATTATCGCGTCTCTCTTTTCTAATAACTCTAGTACTAAGTGAATTGTTGGTGATCGAACTTTAATTTAATTTTCTCTCGACTTGTATTATTGTAGGTTTTTACCGTGGTTGAAACAGTTTGTAAGTTGGGTAAAACGGTGTACCCAAGATCCTTAGAGCAATGTATAAATAAAGCCTATAAAGCTGTAAAATCCAATTACTTTGTACTCTTACCTGAAATAGTGAAATAGCTCTGCCATCACAGTGGATTGAGGTCTGTTCTTGACCGAACCACTTAAATCTGTGTGTTTCCTCTTTCTTCCCTATATTCCGCCTCATTTCCCTTTTATCGCAAGGCTACAACGAGCTCCACAGGTCTAACAAAACTGGTAGCAGAGCATTGGTTCGGAGGATGTGTTGTAGTTCTTGAAGGAATCGGTCATCAATGGTTTTCGCAATATTCGAAATAGAGAAGTTTGATGGAAAGAGTGACTTTGAATTGTGGAAGGCTAAAATCAAAGCTATTCTTGGTTAATAGGAAGCCTCAAAAGCAATTCTTGATCCTAGTAAGTTGCCCCAGTCGTTAACAGCAGAAGAAAAAAAGACAATGGAGGAAATAACCTATGGAACTATCATTGTAAACCTTAGTGATAGTATGTATGCTGAGGCAGGTAATTGACCTTAAATTAAATTGTCTGTGAAGTATGGACGAAGTTAGATACGATTTTTCTGTCCAAAGATTGACCAAATAAAACATGTCGAAGTGTTGGGAAATTTACAGTCCTGTATAATTTCTCCTTCCACATTAAATATTCACACACAACCACGATATGCAAATAAGGAAGAAAATTGTAAAGAACAAGAAAAAGCGCATCAAAATTATACTTGTTTACCACTAAGGGCTATATCCAGTCTTCCACTCAGATGTGGGTAATTCACTAATAATCGTTAAGGATTGGATACAAAACTCTTCCCAAAGATATCCCCTAGAGGTCCCAACAAAAGCCCCCTAACTTCTAAGTATTTTACACAATTAATACTTAGGTATAGGAATGAAAAACACAATAGATCAAGACACAATTATCCTAACAAAGACAATCTTGATCTCTCCCAATGTCTCTGCCAATACCTGAGCCGCTGCCACAAAAACTGCTGCCAAAAAGCCCCAATTCGACTGTCCCGAAAATTCTGACAGCTACACCCCAAAACATACAACTCACACATATGAGTATGTGAAACCTAAAAATAAAGGTTTGGTTTTTTTGGCCCATTATTTGTTTTCACCCCTTCCTTTTATTTATTTATTTTATTTTGTATCAAAAAATTCCAACAATCTTCCACTTGGAGACAAAGTAACAATTTCGCCTCCCACTTCATCAATAATATTCCATCATCTTGACACCCTTTGTTAAGGCACAGTTCTGACTCCTCTATCAACGAACCGATCCACACTGCTCGGCCCTACCCAAGCTCTGTCTGTGATTGCCCTGAGACTGAGCAATCCTACGTGGTCTTGTCTCCCAGACGCTAGAGACACAACCACGTGCTCCCACTCGAACTAAGTGGTCTCTGTCGCTTCCTTTATCGATCGAACCCAACGACCTCTGAAAGAAGATTCCCCTGATGACTTGGCGCTCTCACCCAAGTCCATTGCCTTTCTAGAGACATTACCTTTGACTTCGCCACCAACTGTAGTCTTCTCCCTCAATGCACTATATTGCCTGTGCGACTTCATCAGCTTGCTCATCTGTCTGACAACTGGGGTATTATACTGACAACCTATTAAACACCTCGCTGAGTTGTTCCTCTTACCCTTTCCTCTACTTCCCAACCGTTGTACTTAAACTAATGGCAGATTCTTCTGATCTGTCCTAGTTGTCAATGATGTTGATTCTTTCAAGTCTCGCCCTGAACCATCTGCAGCTACTATGTGCATCCCCTGTCTCTCAAATCCCCTAACAACCTCAAACTCAGACACATAAACAGAAGATCTTTTGTGGCATGTTGCCACCACACTGGATTCCCTCTTGAGCTTCCAATAACCTCCAACAAACTCACTGTTGTAGCTATCATCATCTAGCTTCCCTGCAGATAACAAATTAAATCTGAAGTTAGGAATATACCTAACGCCTGGTAGCACCAATTTGGCCCCTTTGCCTGTTTTCAAACAAACATCTACAATTCCTCTCACCTAGGAGATACTCTCATTCCCCATCTTCACTGAGCCATAATCACTTACAATAAGAGATGAGAACCAACGTCTGTCTGAAGCAATGTGCGCTGATGCTGCAGTGTCTACAACCCACTAGTCTACAAATATGTTCCTCTGAACACAAGCCAGAAACTCTACAATCCAGTCTTCTTCTATTACAACATTTGCAGTATTGTTCCTCTTCTCAAAATCTTCTTTGAACTTCCTGCAAAAACGTTTAATGTGTCCCTTCTTGTGGCGGTAATAACATTCCACTTCTCAACTAGAACTCCCACTACCCCTGTTATATTTCTACTGCTGCTTACCGTTGTAATACATCTTTGCATTTCCTTTGTTCTGAGCTACCAAAGCTGATTCAACCCTGCTATCTGCCTCTGAAGTAGATGTAAACATTTTCCTTAATTTTCTTTAAGCTTCCTCAGATGAGGCAGAATCACAAATAGCTGAAAATTTCAAGCTATTTTCCCCTAGCAAATTTGACACTGCGGTCTTCATCATCTCCCAACTGTCAGGCAAAGATGTCAACAGCCCTATAGCCTTCACCTCTTCCTCAATCTTGACACTCATCCCTTCTAATTTGTTCAAGATATCGGTGAGCTCATTAATGTGGGAATTCACCGATGTTTCCTCCTCCATGTGTATTGACAGAAGGTTTTTCATATCTGCCTTGCAAGACCTTCAACAATTTTTTTCGTTGTAGTCTCTTTCGCCACTAGACTACA